CCCCAAAACCCCCAAAACCCCAAAACCCCAAAACCCCGAAATATAAGGGGAAAATTGGGATAGGATTTTATAATAATTAGATGAATAGATATTTAATTGCAGTTATAGCTCTGTTGTTGGTGGCTAGTAGCGCCTTCAGAATTAGAGTTGGTCAAGGAGATGGGTCAGGAACCACTGGTACTTATACTCCTCCAGGAACAGGAAATACTTATACTCCACCTACAGGAGACGGAAGTACTGGAGCTATACCAACAGGAGACGGAGATACTGGAACTCCAGCAACAGGAGACGGAAGTTCTGGAGCTATACCAACAGGAGACGGAGATACAGGAACTCCAGCAACAGGAGACGGAAGTACTGGAGCTATACCAACAGGAGATGGAGATACTGGAACTCCATCAACAGGAGACGGAAGTTATGGAGCTCCAGCTACAGGAGATGGAGTTGGTAGAAGTCCAGCAACAGGAGGCGGGAGTTATGGAGCTCCAGCTACAGGAGACGGAGTAACTGGAACTCCAACAACAGGAGACGGAAGTGTTGGAAGTCCAGCAACAGGAAGCGGAAATGTTGGAAGTCCAGCTACAGGAAGCGGAAGTGTTGGAAGTCCAGCTACAGGAGATGGAGTTGGTAGAAGTCCAGCAACAGGAAGCGGAAGTGTTGGAAGTCCAGCAACAGGAGGTGGAAGTGTTGGAACTCCGGCAACAGGAGATGGAAGTACTTATACTCCTCCAGCAGAGTAAATAATTATACTCCTCCAGGATCAGGCAACGGAATTGTACCAGATACCAGTGAATAAATCAAGCACATATGTTGCCAGACATAAATTTTATTTCCTAAAAATTCAAAAATACCTTGTCCTTCATTAATTACTTCTAAGCCTGAGCTGTGGTCCCTAACTCTGAAGCTATAAACTAGGAATTAAGAAGAGCTGAGACCATTCTTTTTAAGCTCAAAGGATTAGATCCTTTGGTTAATTTTTGGTGCTGGATCATTAAATTTTTTAATTTTTAATATTGGGTTAAAGAGAGATGAATCTTTGGCAAGCCATTTGGATATTTTGTACTTCACCATTTCTTCCCAAGGTAGGTAGGCTGGCAGAAGATAGGAATGGACGGCACACTTTCATTATTTAGTATAGATATTCTTGCTTCTTAATTAAAGCTTCTATATGCTATGCTTTCGTGCTTTTTTAGAATTTATAACTGAGCAACCATTTTCATAGGATCTGACTTTCAAGAGATTATTCTTATGTATAGGTTTACTCAATAGATGCCAACCTGGCTTGTGTTTTAGTGAACCCTAGTGTTGATAGGTGTCTTTATAAGCAGATTTATGCCTTGCATAAAGCCAGAGTCTTCTATTTTGGATAGAACCTCTATTAAAAATAATAGTACACTTTACTTTATTCTTCTTGAGATCATTAAAAAATTTATTGTAAGTAGATCCAGGAAAATGAATAGATTTGCCTGATTTTTAGCATTTTTAGATGCTAGTAATATCCTCTTCTTTGACAAAGATCTTACACATTGTTAATTAATATCTAACTTTGGATGAAGATGGAAGACAATGAGTTGATAATTCTTGCCTAGATTCACTTTTACATTACATCAACTGGCGTTGCTCTAGACCTTAATATAAGAGCAAGTTTTGCACCTGCATATACCAGAACTAACTATAACTCTTTACTCATAGCCTTGCTAGAACTCTTTTACCATTTTCAAAAATGGTGTAAGCTAACCTCAATTTAGAATATTAGAATCCAATGTTTGGTCCAAAACTAGGGGTTTTGGGGTTTTGGGGTTTTGGGGTTTT